TATCCAAATGATCATCACAGTTTGTCTTGACATAAAAGATCCCATACAGGGTCCACGGGTTGGCAACTGAACTCAGATCCTGAATTTCACTCCACTGTTTTAACACCAAACCCATCCTTCCCACTCATTACAGCTACACTTCTAAGGGATCATCGCTGTCAAGACAGGATGACAGTAAGAGCAAAACGCAGCCATGAGATCAGACCCTGAAGGGACAGGAATGTTAACTGGTTTTACATTTGTCCTCTCACTCTGGTTAACATATTTACTGTATTTCTTATTTTCAGCACTCTAACTTCAGCTAAGATACTCAGTCCAGTCTGCTTCCTTTTCAAGGTACCATCAGTCAAATCCAACCACATCATTTTATCTCTCGATTACTAAATTCAAACCATTTTAAACATCCTGCTTTCATCTTTATAGCTCTCTCCCACTTTTTAACCGTGCTGCAGCTACAGAAGAATGTACTTGACATATAAAATGTGCATGTGATTCCTTTAACATTTTAATGCCATGTATTGTGTTGTAAACATCTCTTCATGTTTTATCTCCTTCTCCATAAATCAGAGGCTAGTATCTCAGAAGTCTCAAAAATGACATGTTTTCTCCCCATTATAAATGTAAGACTCTACTCCTTGAAACTTGAGTCAGTTTTCAAAAATCATCAAAAACCAGAGCCACGAAAATGCAAAAGATTATCAGCTAGCTTAATATAATTTTCTCCCACTCCATTTCTATGACAGTATGAGTATAATATGGGAAAAAATAAGTTACAAAATTGGTCTTCACCCACCAGAAAACCAATGTTTTTATTATTCTTTTTTATCACTTGTAAGGAACAACACTAAGATAAATACTTTCCTGTGTATCCCTACCAATATACCACACTGAAAGAATCAGAGAAGTGGACAGTATAAAAAAGTGATATGCTAGGAATAATTATTTGTTTTATTCAAGATTAACATGTGGTGTTTACAAGATGAAACCATAGAACGTATTTCCATTTCCTTACCATAACTGCAATTAATAAGACTGATCTCTTATAATGAGATTTTTCCGGTGGTTTTGGCTAGCTTAGTAACGTTACAGTAAAAAATGTGTCTCAGTCTATTCCTTGGTAAAAGCATTAAGTGATTTTTTTTTTTTTTAATTAGAAACCACTGTAAAATATCCATTATTTTGAAAAGATAGAACACCAATAAAGAACACCTCTCCAAAATAATTTTAAGCTACTTCAATGATGGAAAAAAGAAAGAAAAACGATGGGGAGAAAAAAAAAAAAAAAAAAAGAGGAAAGCAGTTTTAGCAGGTGGGATTGAAAAGTGGTGACATGTTGTAGTACAATACTGAAGGGCTGAAGGATATAACGCAGTGTTGCGTGATGTGGAAGAGAACCAGGAACCACTGGCTTAGCGTGCCACTAAAATGCTAGATTAGGTGCGAAGTACAACTCTGAAGTATTGTGATACGAAGGAGTGAGGCAGAGGCAGAACTGCTGGTAGAGGACAAGAGAAATAAAACACTATCTTTTCTTTGGCACCTTCCGGCAGGAGTTTACTCCCTCATAGCCCACAGACTCAATACACTCTACAGGAAAACCCAAGGACCCTCCAATATTTATCCAGATCCCCAGAATTCATAACATTTTCCATCAGCCTGAGAGATTCTGTTTCTTTCAAACTACTGTCTAACATAAATTATTCCAGGATACTTTTCTTGACATTTTCTATACAGATGTTTCTAGAACGACCTTGCTGTAGAACCAGCATGTTTGCCCCTAATGCAAGCTTATGCTCAAGTACTTTTTGTCTGTATTTGCCAGTATATTTTCAAATGCAACCTTTTCATTTTCGTTGTGCCAAAAAAAAAAAAGTCATCAGCTTCTTAAAAACAGTTATCCAGTTTCACAAAATTGTCATAAAATACATTATTTCTACTTGCATCGGAAAGTACAGCTAGAATTTAGAATTTATGCGTTGTGAAACTGGTTTGTAAATACACATCTTTGGTTGATAAATATCCAGATTGTACTTCTCTAAACAATGGGAAGATACAAAGTTGCTAACTCACATCATTTCCTTATTATTGCTTTCTTGTTAAGGACAGTGAAAGTGGGGCAAGAACCTCCACTCTGGCAAATTCCTCTAACTTTCTAGCTCTTGTGGTTAGCCAAAACAAATGTTTAAAGTATGACATACAGCCATCTGAAATCATGAGAGGAAGAGATAATTAAAAGATTATTTTAGACCAACTTCATAAAGAAACAAAACATGACTTCTTGGTCTCTGTGCATTACTTAGCATAGTCCTGGTTTACTCTCCAGTAGTTAATTGAACTGAAATAGTTAATTCAGCTCAATTCAATGCGGGTCAACTGGCCTCAGCTCCTAGCAGGTTGTTAAAATAAAGCGGTTGAGAGAAGGAAAAAAAAAATCCAAAACACAGAATTTGAATAGTTAAAAGTTTGTATTAATACTTCCACAAATATTACAGAATCTCTATTACATTTTCACAGGACCAGGCTCCTCACATCCTGTCCTAAATCACGGGGAGGAATCTTACACAATCGGCACTTTACCTTCCCACGACATATTTGAGGACTGTAAATCGTGAATACAGATTTATCAGGGAAATGAGGAGTGGGAAAGATGAGTTGCCCTTAAAGATGTACAGATTTATAGCAATATGGGAAGCAGAAAGACAGTTATCATATAAAAAGGTCCTTAAGGGATAGCAAGGAGCAACAAGGGAAACATGAGTCATGAGCTGCCAGAGAAGAGGATGCGTATGGGGACCCAGGGACAGAGCAAAGTAGCAATAAAGGAAGTTCCAAGTCAAATGTGCTCCTTCCCAAAGGTCGAGACCAAGTTATCCAAGCTTAAAATACATATCAAAAATTAAATTCCCAGCCAATTCAGACACAGCATCACCAGCAACACCAGGAAACGGACGCTTGTTGACTGAAAGGATCCACTGATAACCAAGGTCATAGACCACAGCTCTTCCCTTTTGCTTTGTTACCAACTCTGCTTCTTTATTTTCCATAGTAACAGCAGCTGCCTTGGTGGTCTGTCTACATAGGCAAGTGGCTCAACACGAGCGAGTGTGCAAATCTAAAGCATTTCACAAAGGTTGTGAAAGACAGTTTTACACTTTGTGAAGCCAGAGTAACCTTCCCTGTTCAAGTGCATATTTAACAGCTGTTCCTATAGCGAGATAGCAGGGAGTAAATCGTGAATTATGAGCCCAAGTACAAAGTTATTGCACTCCCAACTTTCCTTTCCCATCCCAGCAAGCTTCAAAAGTGTCAAATTCCAAATTATGGCGCAGGATTCCTGGTACTCCCAAGTATATCCAAATTTTAAAAAGCAAGATTTTAAAAAGTGCTTCCAAGAGTTTAAAAAGTGGCTACTTTTGAGACAAAATACAACACTGAGCCATACATGGAAGCTGAAGACAAAGAAAACGAGTTATTTGTGTGTGAACATCATCTCTAGGGAGATCTATCAAAATCTCAAGAAAGACAAGTTGCACAGGAATCTCTAAACAAGCAATAATTAATTCTCCTCTTAGTCCGGTAGTATCCACATCAAAGGTAAAAGTAAATATGACAGTAAATATTTCAAAGGATTGATACATCACAAAATGAATTTTTAGTATTAAAACACACTGTAGTAAAGGAAAAAAGGGAGGAAAAAAGCATATCTCTCAAATTTTATCAAAACTAAGAAAGCTTCACCTAGTTACCACAGCTTTTCTACCCAGACTTTATGTGAAAAATATGTTCATGATAATCAAACGTATACTTCAGAAAATAGCGTGACTCACTGAAAATTGTTTTTCAAGGTTACCTAGGTGTTTTTAAGTTAGGCAGGCTTCCTAAATACTTTCAAGTAATTAAAAATCATGCATCATCCTTCCTGTTTTGCAGAGAAAACAGACACGAAGTTAAGTGCCTACCTCAATTTTAAGTTCAGCGAAAACAAACAGTAAAGCCTGCACTTACTTCAGTCTGAGCAAGATGCACGCTTACGGGTGCAATGTCAAAATGCACATCGAGTGCCTATAACTGAGGTGTCACAAGGTGTTAACATCAAAAAGCCCAAGTCAATCAAGGTGACTTCAAGATGTAGAACTTCCATTAACAGGGTCCCAGGACTCAGCCCTCCCCATTGACCCAGTGATTGCTGAAACCATAAAGTGCTATCAAAGGTGGCCCTGCTACTGCCATGTCTTTTTCCAGGCCATATTTACAACTCATAGTGACCGTGGCTACTGTGCTTCATAACTCTGTTCAACACCACAAGTGTTGTTACCTGTTCACTAGTTAGGCTCTCCTTTGGGACTTAGGAAGAGCCTAATGACAACTTTGCTTCACAGCTGGATTGCAGGAGAGCTGAGAGCACAGCATCAAGCTTCAGGGGCATGTTCACACATGCAAGGAAGCTCAGGTTCAGGCACCTGGAACATCTCTGGCATGAAACAGCTACCACACAACGGAGATTTTCAGTACGCTTTGTAGATGTGCAGGAGATACCCTCACTCCAGCCTGAACAGAAGCACACAAACCCCAGCAAAGTCCCACTACAGAAATTTAGAGAAGTGTCCTGAGCCATACTTTAGACAGATCTGACAAGGTCACACAATAACGCAACCAAAGAACCAGGCCCATAAGGCTGGAGCCCCAGTGGCTATTCTTATACTCCAATTACACAGTTCTGCCTATGTCATTTTCAGTGACCCAGGCCTGATTATCAAGATAAACACTATTATTGGGAGGCTTAAAACCTCATCAACTCCATTATGAACAAACACAATGTGCCTAGCAACTATACTTTAATTCTCAGACCTATATTCCTTCTGCAGTGTCAGCTTTAGTGGTGCAGAGCTCATGCGGCAGCTGAAGGCGCAGCACTCCCAGCCATCCATTTACACTCCTTGACAGCACTTCAGAAGCCAGGAAAACATCGGTTTGCAGTACAGATGAAGAGATGCACTGACCTGATTGATGGAGTTGGCAGCACACGATGCCAGTCCAGTTCCGAGGGAGGCGAGCAGGAAACAGGTCAGGTCAAAAGGGACCGGGGCCATTGCAAAGCCAGCGGACGCAGTGCTTACAACCAGAGCTGCAACACAAGCGAGAGCACAGTTCAAAGCATCAACAAGAAACCATCTCCTTCGTACATACCACTAGAGTTAAGGTCTTTAAATCCTGTAAGAACCCTTGTGCAGACTAACTTTTTGCTACTTTTATGGGTCAAATTAGCTCCAGGAATTGTGTACAATTAATACTGATACTCTACATGAAGATGAGAAGGAAAACTGTCAGGGATGAAATGAGAAACCCAGAAGCATCAGCACATTAGTAGAAGAAGTGAGAATAAAACTTATGCCTCTGTATTCCCTATTTTATGGATTTGCTAGAGGATCAAACAGCCTGATGCAACATGTACAGGAGACACGATCTTTCCAGTAACTCACATGCCATTCCAAAGCCTAACACGGAAGAAGATCACTAAGAAAAATCCCAAACTGGGAGATATGCATTATATCAAATTATAAGAGAAACTTAAGCAGTGCAGAGAGTTAAAAAGAGACTCAGGGCATATAGGCTACAGCTAGTGAGGCCATTAACTTCACTGTACGAGTATCTGCTCACACTGTTCCCAGTTGACATGTCCACTTCAGGCAGAAGGTACAATTGCATCATCACATGGACCCAGCAACTCTTAAAGGCCTCAAAATTTGAGTGGATGAATAAAAATCCATTTCAGTTTTGTCATCCAAAATTATAACTTTAGTACAGTACTGCAAATCACATCCTTAAAATGAAAGGTACCCAAGTCTCAATCCTAATATTGCAATTACCCAAATAATAGGTTTTACGAACCTCCTTTTTTGGCAAGAAAAAGTATGACACGAAAAATTTCTTACACTATAAAAGTCAGCACACTTACTGAATATCTTGCTCATGACCTTGAACCTTACAATCTGAAATTAATTCTTATTAAACAGAAAGTATTTAAATTATATTCTGCACGTAATTACATGTTCCAGACCTCAGCTAGCTCAAATCAAAGCATCAAAATGTTCTTATCTTCCTAATTCCTACAAAGTCTCCTGTTTGTCCGAAGTTAAATGACAAATAAATAATCTTTGCCGACTGAAAATACCTGGATAATCTACTAAGCAGCATTACTCGAGACAAAAAACTAAATGTCATGGCAAAGACCTGCCAGCAAGGATGCACACGCAAAGTGCTAATTTTAAGAACTGTGCCTGCATAAGAACCTTAGCATTTAATCCTAAAAAGACAGTGAAGAAAACTTGCTGCTCATCAAAACTTTTCCCTAAGTATTAAAATCCTTTGGCAGCTGAACAGTATTATAATAGCATACATAATATTATTACAAACATTAATTACTTAGCCTTGTTATGGATTCACCAGGTGTTGTGCGATGGCTGTCACCCAGGCTGGCTGCGAGGGTGCCACGACAGGGTCCCTGCCCCATACCCAGTTAAGTCACGGGCTTTGATTCCCAATGACAGCATCGCCGAGGACAGCACCTGCGGCCCCTTCAGCTGCTTCTAAAACACAGTGAATCTACGACAGAGCCTTACCTCTCTGGGAAGCTGTGAAATAACCACAGATTCTGTAACCCTACCAAATGGACATGAAGGTATTGATTGTTTCTGAAAGACTGGATCCTATTTCTACCACAAATACAACAGCATCTTGTTTCAAAACTTGTGGATCCTTCTTAGTAGAGCGCACAAGAAAATATGAAATGCATGGGTTTACAACTGATAGAGTTAAAAAACACACTGAAAAGATGACAGTGAAACAGTGGCGTTTGCATTTCTAAGAGTGATTACATTCATTTTTTTGCATAATAAATCACACGTTCACTTCTAGACAAGAATTTAATTAAAACTTATCTTAAAGAGCACTTTACACCAATTTATTATGGGAAAACACCAACTCATTTACTGAAGAAGAAAGGTGGAGTAGATTGGCAAACAGTCAGTGTAACATTACCATCAGACTGACCTCAAAGAAATTCTAATACTGTACAGCTACAGCACTAATTAAAGTCTCCATTGATTTCTCCAGATTAATTTCAGCCAGTCATTTCAGTGTGACTTATCAGGATCTCATTAAAAAAAGGTTGTTAGTACATCCTCTCACTTATCCCATTGAAACAGGTATTTTTAGATGTTTGGGTAGCACTCTGAACACAAGGCATTCCCTGCTTGTCTCATCGCCCAGCAATTCCAATGCAACACATTAAGAGCAAATAAGAAAATGTTCCCTTTGGATTGGGAAGTTTATTTTCTTTTACTGTGGAAGCAATAATTTACTCTTCTACTTTACTCATGGAGGAAAAGTATATTTAATTGAGATCACATCAAGGGAATGAGGTCATTGACTCTGTTTGTTTTTTAATCCCTGTTAGTTTAGTGCTTTAGGGGCCAAATTAACTTCACCTTATTGCATAATAGATGGAATTGATCCTTTCAAGATTTGTTGATGAGAGTTGGCATTACATACGCTCTTCAAAAAGAAGCCAGGATTTAAACTTATGATCTCAGCCTAAACCTAATTTTCAGCCTTTTAAACATCTTTAGCCTTAACAAAAATTAACAGGGGACATTTGTCTCCCATCTCAATGTAAATGAAAAAGAAAATGCTAAAGGATTGGTGACAAAGAGAGTGAATTACAATGTTTCCAGCATAAAAACACATTCAAAAAGTCTACAGTGTATTCTTTACATTCCTCTTCAGCTTCATTGTAACCTGAACTGCCTTTATAAATCCCTGTACTTGTATTTATAGCATGCGAATCATCATGCCATATTTTGTTTACCTGCTATTAAAAAGTAGCCAAGTCAAATAAAAGCATGGCAAGTCAAAGCAAACCAATTCACCTTTAGATTTCCTTTCTACTCCTTTACTGATGATGTATCAGTGCATATGGAAGGACAAAAGCGAATGCATTTCTACTTTAATTTAAGAAACAATTTCACTGTTTTACTACAAATGTTTATATACTCCTTAAAGGAAATTAGCTTTCCAAAAGCTGATGGAATTTTCCTTCCAGAGTTTTCACACTTTGGTTTCTGGAAAGCTAAATGTAGTTGCAGTATTACTGCTATACAACTGACCAATGTTTCCTTTATAAACTTAGATTCGTTTGGGTGTAGGCATATCTTAAGTTTTGTTGCAGATTATAAGCAGCACACTAAAGGCGGCCAAACTCCTGAAGCAAACTTAAACTTGCGACTATAATTCGAAACACGCCCTTGCATCATATCATATAAAATTCAAGTGCAATATTATGAACAGAGCAGATAATCTCTTTTTGTCATCGAACAATTTTAAAATGCTTTGCAAAAAATAAACTGTAATAATAGTTTGGTTTTATTTCATTACTTTTCCCTCTAGCGTGGAAAACAAATTACCAAAAAGCTACCACTATTAAGCTTTTTTTCTTTGATAGGATAATAGTTACTGTTCTCATAATCACAAAATGAGAACTACTTTGGCAGGGGTATGACATATATTTAGAACTGAGAATAAATGTAGACTAGTAACAATCTACACAATATATACCGATAAATCTTTGTCGAAGTTTCTGGCTATATTAAAGCTACTGTTTAAAGAATAAATGCCATTATTCCAGAATAAAGCATAAATGTACTGGAACTCTACTAAAGCAAATGAATTTTTTTACTACAGCAGCTGTTACCAGAGTTTCAGCCTACAAACACAATTTATTTAGTCACTGTTGCTCTGCTACGTAGTAGTTTGGTAACACTCAAGAGTCATTATGCAAAGCTGGATATCCCATCATCTTCATTTTACAAATACACACCAGATACAGAGATGAAGCAAGATGTTCATGATCACTTCATAAACCAGTAGCAAACATCTCAAGCTTCTGATTTCCAGTTCAACGCTTTTGTGCTAGAGGATCACTACTGCACAGACACAAATTCATATCTAAGCAATACATCCAATAAATTCCAGCTGTTTTCTAGCATACAAGACAGGATTATTTTCTTAAAAGGGGACACATAAAAAAATGCTCTAGTTTAGTCTCCAAAACTGAGAATGCTTATAATTTCTCATATTTGCCCGCTTAGCAAATCTTAAATGTAGGTCAGTATGTCCATGACACAGAAATCACACACAATTTTGTAGCTGGTAGTCTTTACTCCGAGGTTTTTGTCTAACATTGTCTAACAACACAGAGTAATGCAGATTGGAAGCGATCTCAGGTGATCAAGTCCAATCTCCTGCTCAAAGCAGGGTCAACACTGAATTCAGGCCAGGTCCCTTAGGGCTTTGTCACTTCCAAGGATGGAAATTTCACATCATTTCTGGGCAACCTGCTCCAAAGTTTGACTGTCCTCATGGTGAAACTTTTTTTTCCTTAAATCAAGCCAGTCTCTCCTCTTTCAACTTATGAAACACGTTTTTTCTGTGCCAAGATTCACATATTTTAAAAATTATTTGAAAACTAAAGCATAGGTGCTTCCAAATCCGTCTTTAAAAGAATTTTGGCACCCAATTGGAGAATATCCACATCCTCCTTCCTGTGGAAGGAGCTACTAATGATCAGATGACATCAAAATGATATGTAAATCTTTACCTTAAGAACAAACATCAAACAAAATTGATTATATCAGTCTTGTCATTCTGTCCATATTATGCACTTTACACTTTGATGAGGAAAAAGCACAATATGTTCGATTCTGATCTGGCCACAGTAAACCCCAGAATGACTCTATTAAAGATGATAATTACTCCAGATTTAAAGAGGTGTAAACACCTCAGGTTGGCCTATTTTAGCTCTAAGTTATAGACCATGACGAAACCAGAGATAATTTACTCTCAACTGTTCTCACATAAAGTTAATAGGATACTGGGTTGAACTCAGAGTTAGATAGAACCAAACAACATCTCACATCCTCAAACGACAGAAATACAGCAAAACTTACGCTTACTTCGAGGAATTTTCCAGATTTCTTAGTGTTTGGAGACATAGCAATACACTTAGTGAAGCAAAGAAGGGTTTCTCTTGGAGACACAGAGACACTTTTCAGCAGTTTGCTGCAGTGTGTTACTGCCCTAACTGCCCAGGGAAGCTGTATATTCCCTGGTTGGTTTTAAGAATGGACAAAGTAACATCAAGTCAGGAATGATATAGCTAAAGGTGATCCTGTATTGGGGAAAAATAGATTAGATGACTTCCTGAAGTGCTCCTTTGAGGTCCCCATGATTCTGCATGGATACTGCACACCCTGAACCAGAGGAAGACATCAAGTGCAGAAGCCACTCTGTTGAGGTCTGAAACAAGTCTTCAGTAATCAGCACACAAAATCAATGTTCAGCATGCTTTACTGGATTGACTATTAAAATGTACTTTGAAAACAATACTACCAAAACTCTAAAACACCTTTGAAAAGTTAGAAGGTAAAAGTGCTTTGCTATGAGATGCCATAAAAGAACAGACAGACTTCAGGCAAGAGACTGTGACTTTCCACATGATCTCTGGATTAACCACCAGTTAATACACAATTGTGAATAAAAAAGATTATTTTGATACAAGTTAATATGTTTGTGAAGACAAATTAAAATGGTAACTGTAGTGCATTAAAATACAGGATAAAGGAAAGGTAGATAAATGTTTGAAACATATGGGCTTCTAGTACGACTCTCTGAAGGAGATCCATGTTACCGTAGCCTAGAATCAGGACTCAACTCTTCCAGGCACAGCAGAAGGAGAGATATGCTAAAGACACAGCCCCTTCCTCAATAGGCTTGCAAGTTAGATGAAAAATTCTACAGCTGTTTAGAACTTAGCAGTTAAGTTTACATCTGACCCATGCAGATACATCCACTTCTCAGACAGGTGCTACATAAGGTGCCATACATCTAGCTCGTTGTCCTCAGCAAAAGAGCAATGTGCAAGACATCCTTTACTACAGGAGCAACACTGAGAAAATGTTCACAAACCATAGAGAAATATCTAATGAGAATACTCAGCATTTTTCATATTTTGCCTTCATCACACTTCCCCCAAATTACAAACTGAAATTTTAATTTTCCTGTGGTTTTGCATATAGGTCACCTTAGTTTTCATCTGTGATCACGGGGGAAAACATTACTTAAATGTAAACTTGAAGTCAAATTTAAGAAGATGAGACAATTGAAATTCTTCATGTGTTTGCATTATAAATTAATAGAATTTCCTCTAATTATCATACCTTCACATGTCTATTTTCAGTTACACATAAACTTTCGGATAAAGTTGAAAACAATGACATTTATAATTCTGAAAACTTAGCAGACAGATGCATTAGCTTTCCAAATGCCTGGATGGTAAGAGACAGCTGTTCAGACAGTGGTCAACACAGAACACCACACAGAAGGGAAAGGATGGAAACTGAACCCAAAAAGGTAGATTATGCGACAAGTAATTAAAAGTTCCCTAATTGTTTTCTATGGCAAAGGAATATAAACAAAAATCTTTTCCTGTTGGTAAGGCAGAGCTTCTAATGGCAGAGTCACAAGAGCTGCAGTTTACATGAAGCAGGAGGGTATGGTAATAGCTAAACTCATTTCCTTTCAAAGGTGAATTACAGTTCAGAATACAAACAAACATTCTCTTTACTTCAGCAGCGGGAAAAGAAAAGGGCATAAGGAAGTCCCATTTTAGCATAATGCAGAGTTTGTTTTTTTGTTATTTCATACTCTAAAAAGTATAAATAAAGAGTCTGCCAAAAAAAACCACACAGGATATGAGATCTATCAGAACTTCATGGGTGAAAGGAATTGAGTTGTGTGTCATTTGTAACTTAAAAACTGACCTCAGAGAATTTATTTTTCTTCTAAAAAAATAAAATCAAAGAACTACACCATATTCTTTATAGAATATATAATTTGTCTAAATGATTACACAAGTTGGAAAAAAAGCTAATTCTGTTTCCCTGCTCTACACGTTACACCCAATAGCCATCCTGTTCCTCTCCTATGCTATCCTATGACCAATAAAGACCAAAACCAGAACTCCTCTCCTACAAATTTCTCTTCATTCAACTTACTCTTTCACACTTTCTACTTCCAATAAAATCTCCCCACCCCAGACCATCTTCTCCACCAAATACACAAAGATCACAACAAGAAGAGAGGTTACTTTTTTCCTGTATCTCTATACCTTCAACAGGTATGAAGTTTACTACACTTACCTTGCATCAAGAACAGCACATCTCAAAACGCAGCCTCATACAAAACAACAGTCCTGAAGGGAATAAAATTCTGTAGCCTTTGCCTTCTACAGGTTTCAAGTATCACCCTATTTTAAAACCAAAGTGGTTCTTGCTTGCTTGTCAATATTACCTTTTGCGTTTAAAAAACAGCCTACTAGAAGCCATTGAAAAGTTTCGTAGAAACACTGAGGCCACACAAAAAAGTATCACATAAAATTATTTTCTCCAGAAAAAGATACTCTTCCATCTTGCTGCAGTTCTTGAAACGCACTTTTTAAGGAGCACCGGTAATACTCAGATGTGGTACTAACACTGAGTTTACCCATAAGGAATATCAGCAAATATAAGAATGTGCATTTCAAGTGTTTAAAACAACAGTTCATTTTCTCTCTCTCTGGTCACTTAATCATGGCATTTTAACTTTTCATTTCTGGATCTATTGAGATTTTTTAAATTTAATTCTACTTCAAGAACTAGCACTAGCTTTCAAGTTCATATAAAAGAGGCACTTAAATAAAATCACCTCATTGCAAATATGCCAGAAGAGCTAATTGTTCATACAGCTGTTTTACAAATTATCCACAGTGAGCCCAACAGAAACAAAATATTACTAACACTGAACAGCATGGGGGAGAAAAAGGCAAGACCTGTATTATGCAGAAAGAAAGAAGAAGCAGTAGTTGAGGTTGTACGTGCCACAAAGCTGTTGCAAATCTGAAGTACAATAACTCTGTTAACTGCTGGATGTGCTAATAACGGTCTTACATATCTAACTTTGAAATTACCAAGGCTAATATGTAAAAGTGACATGGTAAAGTATCAAAAGACATGCTTTTCATCCCTCAAGTCTACTAACCCAACTCTTTACTGGCACAAAATAAATGCCTTGAGTTTTTTTAAAAATAATGAGGAAGAACATTTGGACATACAGACAAGATCAGTCTTGTCAAGTCCAAAACATGAGATGTCTTATCAGCACTGAGAACTATAAGGCTTTTTATTAGAGAAAAATTTAAATGACCATTGTACATTGTATGTGGCCAGTGCAGGTTTTCCATGGAGAAACAAACAATGAAAACATATATATTGCAAGATAAAAAGTTTCAAAAAGTAAACTGACTTCAGGATTTTTATTATAACAAATTGTTATGGCAAAGAACATCAGTTTTATTATCAAGAATTTATTTCACTCACTGGAGAGAGCACCACAGTAGGGATTTAGGAAATTATATTTCTGTTCTTACCCCTGACAACATGTAAGGCTCTGGTCAGATCATTACGGTTTCCTTAGACATAAAAGTATATATAGCACTACCTATTGGTAAAGAAGTAATTTATAGTTGTTAAGTACTACTATTAGAACAATGGAAAATGTAGTTAGGCTACAAGGCAATTGCTTAACAAACTGCTGGTTTGAAGATACAAGGCTATCATTGACTAGAAAAGTAAATTATACCTTATTTTAGAAAATTTAATTGGTCACAGTCAAACATTTTCTTTATAAGACAGGAAATTATTTGGATCTTTTGTTGGTACTCTTAATGCTAATTTTACAATAAGCAGTACTGAAGTGAAAGGTAAGCAATTAAGATGGAACATTGGTAAACTTAAGCAAGACAACTTTAAATAATACAACGTTTGTAAATTCACTCCCTAACCCAGTTTCATCGTATTTTTTGTACTAATACTTGCTTATGATTCCCAAAAGCTAGCTGATGATATGACACAAGCTCCTCCTCATCGTTTTTAAACAAATTTAATGGGAAAACTATTAAACGCTTCCATAAAACAATTTTTCCCTGCACACATTTGATGGAATTGACCCAGGTACTTTGTGTCAGTAAAGTGGGAATTATCACACAAAAACCTACACAGTACCAGTATCATGCTAAAGAACTCAGGTATCAAACAGGATGCACAGAAATGAAAAGAATGACCAGTAATACCTGTAAGCTTAATTTTGGACAAGCGTGCCAAAATTCCTGGCAAATCATCCAGCCGTAGCTTCATTTCTTTCCATTGCTTGTCCTCTTTGGATTCTGCTCTTACTGGTGTGACAAAGTCTTCAGTTTCTGCAGCTGACTTCACTTCTCTCAACACATTCCTGC